ATCTTCTTCTTCATCTTCATCTTCTTCTTCTTCTTCTCCTTTTCCCTCCTCCTCCTCCTCCTCCTCCTCCTCCTCCTCCTCCTCGTCTGTTAGCCATAGCCTTGTGGGCCTGCAAACCCTGAATGCAACACCCCCCTCACCACTCTCGACCTTTTTTGAACCATCCGGTTTGTCGGTTGACCCCCCGGGCCCGATCCGGCCCCGGTTGGACCGGTGTCGGTGCGAATACCCTTACAAGGGTATCCGCCCTGGTTTTTGCAAGCGACAGAGCGGGGTATCCGCCCTGGTTTTTGCAAGCGACAGAGCGAGCCTGGTTTAAAGTTTAAGTATACCGCGCAAGGCGCAGCTGCGTCGGTGGTTTACATTGGACGGATGGTTGACTGGAGTAGACAGTGTATGGGCGCGCAGATTTGAGGCGTGCGTGATCTTTTTATTTGTTGATGATTGAATGACCGGCGTGAGCGGCAGCCGGATTTTTATTTCTGATCAAGCTAGGATTTCTCGTGATTTGGTATGCTTTCTGCGACTTGTGCGTACGTGCGGAGGACGACATCGACAATAAATGTGATTTTAGAAACGTTTTGATAGATCGGCACATCGCACATCACCTACATATTTAGGTGTCCATCAACGCTAGACCCAGCCTCGGACCTAGCACTAGCGGTTACAGCATTGGACTTTCGTTAAAGAGATTCAGGGATCGGGATTGAGCGGCAACAGCGCAGGAATATCAAGAGCAGCGCGAAGGAACGAAGGGGTTGAGGGCCCGGCGGGGCTATCCCCCTTGGTTTGCCGTCGGCGGCGTAGAACGGTACTAGTGGGTTCTTTTTCCTCGACTCGTCATATACTAACGATTAAAATTTTCTAAATATTTTATTATTCACCGTCGTATTATCATTTTTATTTTATGCGCTGACGTTCTTTGACTTAGACGCGGCACTGGGTTTAGTGATCGTCACGGTGGCCGAGGACCTTGAGAGCGTGCATCTTTGGGTTGACCTACGAGTTCTTGCGTATTCGGGATGCCGACAAAATTCCTCTACCTTAACTGTTTTAAAACGCGGGCCGGTGAGTTCAATGGGCATGGAAGTTGGTGGGTGATTAGCCCACGAGGCGGAAGA